GACGTTTTCCGCTGGCTGAACAAAGCTCAAAACAAAAATCGACTGAAAAAGCTCGACGTACACCTCAGCACTTCTTATGAGTTGTGAATGCGAAAGCACGCGTGCCGCTCGTCCGCTCCCTCTGTCGTCTGCTTCGTACTAGTGCGCGCGTGCTTCGGGATCTCGGAGGCCATGGCGCAGCGGCCAATGGGAGCCCCGTCGACGCGCGCCAGCCAATGGAACCGAAGGATCGCGGAAACCAGGAGCCGTTTTCGCGCTTCAAACTGATGACGTCAGCTCGCTCCATGAGACTGTTAATGCTTTCGCATTAAAATGATTTGACATTAACTGGCAGGCTGCTCAAAAAGATGTTAGGACACTTATCATCTTGGTGAGATACAAATGTTTATTTGGTTTCGTTCTAATCTTCTTAAAGCATCAGTTTTTTGTAGTTATTGTTATTTTTACAATATTAGGACACGCCGTTGAAGTAATGTATAGGCAACTTTCTGCAATGGTGGTTCCGCGGTGTGAAAGTCGCGCTACCTAGCTCCTGGATAATCGGCTTGAGAATGAAGGATCTTGCTTACACCTTCTGGATGCAGAGAAGTATGGGTTAAGACTCTTATGTAGCTCGTATTTCACAATATCAGAATTAACGCTGTCGCTGTTGGGGGACGCTGCCGTTGTCTCGCCTGACATTTAGATGAAGAACACTGAGCTGTGGTACGGCCGACCCGTGCTACATGGCTTTGGGACGGCATTATGAAACGGTAGGCGCGGCCGGCATACGTGCATGCCGCCTACATTTCCTTTTCAATCGAAATTGTATTTTTGTTTTCTTAGGGATCCTCTGATGTTTTATCTGGTACTAGATATTAAAAAAAAACTCCGTCCTTTTATTCACCGACGTCTCAATCAAGGCACGACCTACGTTCAGAGCTGATGGAAGATTGATATAAAAACATACACCCGTATTCACCAGGCGCGGCTAGCTAGCGGCGTTTTAAGGTTAGTAGCACGACTAAGTAGTTGCGAGCTAAACGAGAAATCCGCGACTAACGAGCGATTATGTTCTGCGGTATTCACGAGCGCGAAGCGAGCGGGTGACTATCTAGTCAGAACTAAGAAGCGGAAGTGACACAAAAAGATAGGTCACGGGCACGCGAACTTCAACGCCGCTGCGTAAATGGGTATTTTATCCTATAAAAACTAATATTTAAATGTTTGTCAGGAAAAAAAAGTTACAATGAGAGACATATTGTCCTAGACAGAGTTTTACAACGAAAAATTTCAAAACAACGCCAGGGAGAAACACGGAAGCAGCATTGCCAGCGACATAAACGAATATGGAAGCGCCCATAAATGCGTTTCTTCGCGCCGTCCACCGCCCTGCCGAGATCGCTTTAGCAATGTCTCTGGCCGTTGAACATGGCTATTTAGTCAATATTTGCCCCTCCGATTCTTTCTAGATATGTCCCCCAGCGTTCCGAGGCAGTAAGTGCTTTGTTATAGCGCTGGCGGTCAGCGGTGATACGAGTCGGCCATGGCGCTAAGCCGCTAGTCGCCCGCTAAACACCGGCCAAACTAGCCCTACCCCATGACTAAGATTTGTTAGTCGACTCCTTAGTCGCACGGGGCGACTAGGCCTTAGCGGCGACTATCGCTTGCCACGTGATCATTTTAGTCGATGACGTCGCTAGTCAGTGGTTAAACAGGCACTACTCGCGCCTGGTGAATACGGGTGATAATCTTTTAATTTAATTGTGATGTGTAATCACCGCGTCTTGCTATTTTCCCATACCACCGTTTGGCGATATTGACCAGCTAAAATGTGTTTATATAATGTATTCACATACATTGATTTTATGCGAAGTTTCATTATCTGTTTTACAATTCGTATAGCTTTGCGATTCTAACAGCGTCAAACTCCGGCTGTAACAACGAACATTTGCGCTTTCACCGGGGCATAGAGCTGTTGCATTTCTCTCAAGAAGCACGGAATGCAGTCCGTCAGGCACTCGTGAGCGGCGGACGACACTTAAAAGGGAGTCAAGACGGTCCGATGAGACCTTCGAGAGCCAGCCACAATAGTTTGACTGTTGTTGCAACAATGAACACTTCCATGACACCCTTGTGTTTTGCGTCTTACCCTAGGACAGTGAAGTAGAAAGTAACGCCACAACAGTAACGAATTACTTTTTGTGGTAACGGTCACTTACTTTTATGGAAGGGGAATTGTAACTGCAAGTAGTTACACTTTAGCCTTTTTGTAATTGTAAATGTAATTCCTTACTATTTTTTTGTAGAATACAAGTCTGGCTCCTACTTTTTTTTTCCGCTATACTTATAGCAGGATAGTTTTGCCGCTAAATTTCGTGGGATTTTTTTTTTTTAGCAAAAAGTTTTGCGGTGAAGGTCAGCTCTCCCCGGCCGCGTCCCTGACGGCATCTGAGCAATGGCGGTGGATGTGGTAGACATCTTTTGCTGCGACTCCTCACTCCCCAGCTTGACATTTCGCCAAAGCTTCGGCAGCCAGAAGTTGCGGAACGTCGCGACGACGGCGACACTCAAATTCTCTTGTGCTTTTTTTTCCAGAACTTTTACGTTTATCCGCTAGGATTGCGACCCGCGGCTGCATGACACTCGGGCCTTTTGTGACGTCATTTGCTGCCACTTTGGGAGCACTTTTGATGAGTGGGCGGGATAGGACGCTAGGCTTTCTATGGCACCGTAGTATACAATGGCGCTGCCACCCGCAGACGCCACCGAGAAACAACTCCGAAACTCCGAAGACAAAGGGAGTGACGTCATCCACTCTCAGAAAGTACCGTCAGCTGGAACGGAAGCAGACGGCGACACTGACGACGACGCACCCCGGAGAGCGAGAACCCAGCGAAAACGAAAGCAATCAGAGCACTCCACGGGAACTTAGAAAGAAAGAAAGAAAAAAAGAAACGAATAAAAAATAGACTGGGTCGTTTGCATGCGGGCTCGGCCTCAATGACTTGCGGAGCCGTGCGGCGGCGGTACCGTGGATTCCCGAGGTCATTAGGGTTAAAGCTAAGGCATTTTTCTTCGTATTTTATTTTTCACCCGCTCGCTCGCCGTGATTATCTTCGTTAGACTTGTTGGCCGCGTGTTTTTCCCGGCAATTTAGTGAGCTAGCAAAGTGCGGAGGGCTTTGGCTCGCCCCACTCGATCACCGTGAATTGCACGAGAGAACGTGTTTTTAATTTCTGCTCGCTTTTTAAAGCCACTTTTCTGTTACGGGCTTTCTTGGTTCAGAAAGAGTGAGCTGCCCTTTTAACGTTTTTGCGAAATTAACCTAAATGTAGTGGTATATTTGTAAGTTTCTAACGGTTGTTTCGCTAAAATAAACTCCAGCTAAGATAATAAAGCTACGAAGTATAAACGCTTTGCGGCACCTGCACATGGGCGCCGCCACAGCTGACCTTCCAGTTTGTGTCTCCTCTTATTTCGATCACTTCGATCCATCATTACCACAGCGGGACAGGTTAGTGCCATATCAGATTCGACTGTGTCCTTCTCCCCAGCATTGGTCTTTGGGGAGGCTCGTTATGCTCTCTTCGGTGGCTTGGTACCTCCGTAAGACAAGAGAAGTGGTCACAGGGGCGGATCCAAGGCGGGGGGGGGGGGGGGGGGCGCCCCCCCCCCCCTTTAAACGAAGTCGACCCCCCCCCCCCCTCCCCCCTTCTCGGAGGGCAATTTGACATGGGTGGACCCCCCGGTGCACACGAAAGAAAGGGAGAATAGAATCCTTACAAATTTTCCGCCCCCCCCCCCCCAAAAAAAAAAAAAAAAACAAAAAAAAAACGGAGTTCTGGATCTGCCCCTGAGTGGTCAGCAATGGCGGCTCTAATCTGGATACGTGTGGGGACGGTGGCGTTCTCGGTACGAATAAATGTATTTAGCGATCAGCCTGCTGCAAGGTGTAGATGAGTTTAAATACTACTTGAAAAAGTTTTTTATTTTTTTTAAGACATTTGTTAATTTCTTTTCGCTCAATGCATCGTCTCCTTCCTTTCCACGTAGGCCTGACGCCAGCGTAACCATGCCACATGTCCCATGACGCCCAGGCGTCCGGATGCACTCAACATGATCTCCAACAATGTCATGTCATTCGTCAAGAAGGTGAGTGCACCGTTGTGGTTTCGGAGACGCGCGATCACGTCGTGCGTCCGGCGATTATTATTCTGAACTCTTTTCAAGGTTTCACCATCTGGCCGCCAAGTGCTATGGATAGTTTGAAGCGGTTGAATAACTCTGCCTGCGTGGACAGCTGTCTATTTTTGCCGTTTGGTGTCGTCGCTGGTTCACTCGAAACCTCGCCGTCGATGGGAAAATGCTGTTCCAAATGCTAACGCTTTTCCAGCTTTCTTATTTCAACCCAATGCACCAATCGTAAAATAGGCTTCCGTTCCGTTTCGTACCCTTCATTTTTAAATTCTGCGGAAAGTGGTGGTCAATTGAGGCGAACACCTTTTTTTGAAAGGTACTCGCCTCACTGAGATCCGCTTTAGCCGAGGTTGACTTAAAGACAATCTCAAACCATTATTGGCTCCACCAATAAGTTTTTGCTTGGAGATACATGCCTTAAAATCGGGTATATTATGCATTACGTCAAATATTGCCGAGAATGAACAACGTACCGTACATGTAAACTTCGTATTTGCGGAGGCTGTCAGTTTTGAGTGCGTATCTTTGAATCGTCGAGTGTATAAGGCGGTTGAGCACACGCTCGCACGCCTAGAAAACCATCAAAAGCAAAAACCTCCCCAGAAGCTTTTCATATTCACCAAGAGAATTTCCCTTTCAACTAACGACACAAAACCCGCAGTGTCGTTTGTGTCTAAAAACTCTTTTGTGTTGGTGATGGTCGAGCAAAAAAAGAAACAAAAAAAGTTTCTAGCACGATGTTTATCGACGTGTCCGCGAGGCGAGCAGTCTATTAATCTTCTAGCCTGGAGAAGGAGAGTATATCCGACGCGCGATCGCAGATGGTGAAGAGCGGCTCGGACGAAGACGGCATCCGGCTCGGGAGCAAGTTCCGGGCCACGGTGGCGGCCGCGGGTCTCAGCCCCAGGGCGTCCAGGGCAGACCTGGGTCACCTGACCCCCGAGGAGAGGTCCATCCTGGCCAGGGTCTGGCAGAAGGAGGACGAGTTCGAGAAGATGACCCTCGTCAAGTGAGTGACCCCCCGGACCGGCCCTGCGGACAGTTTCGCAAGACTACGCTGGCTCCACGGAAAGTCGCGGAACTTCACCCGCCCTTGTTTGACATTTTGACTAGTTTCTCTCGTGGTCCTTCCCAATGCTACATAAAAAACTAGGCCTGCGGATGACGTCATCGTTAGTTAAACCGCGATCCACCAGGTGGCGCAAGACGCCGCCCGATTCAAAGGGTTCTACCTCATCTATCTACCCATCGATTATGTTGTTGTTGTTTGGTTGTTGTTTCTTGGGGGAAGGGGGAAGGAGGCGTGGCCTTTGTCTTCTAGGTGGTAGTTCACGTAAACAGGATGACGAAAAATTCAGTATTTAGGAGAGATCGATTAACAGTCGTTTCGGGAGCGAAGACGAATCCACATCTTTCTAAACCAAGCGACGAAATAGACTTTGTGTATTGGCCACGTGACGTCAGGTTTCGTTACGCCAATTTTTCCGCTACATTTAGCGGGAAAACTGGATGGGCGTTTGGGTTACGTGACGTCAACATGCCCGCTAAATTAAGCGCTGTAACTGAATGGGTGTGTAGGTCACGTGACATCAGGTCACGTGACCGCCAATTTTTTCGTTACATTTAGCGGGGAGACTGAATTGGTGTTTAGGTTATGTAACGTTAATATTTTTCCGCAAAATTTAGCGGGAAACTGAATTTATGTATGGGTCACGTTACGTCATTATCTGCTCAATTCAACGGGGAAATGCACAACAAAAGAGGCAGACAATTTTTTTTCTTTTTTTTTTTTCAGATTAGGGTGGGTTTTGTTTAAAAACACTCTATGCTTTCCTATACTCCGCCTCACTAAAACCGTGCAGTACAGCCAAGGCTACGAGGGAGCGAGTGTATCCCGGCCTGTTCAAGAAGAGGGAAAGGAGGAACGAGAGAATCCCAGCCCTTCTCTTCCGTTCCTCCTTTGCCTCATCTTAAACATGTTGGCATATGCTCTCTCCCTTGTAGCTTTCGCTGCACTGCACGGTTTTAGTGAGACGGATTAAGTATCTAGCTTCGATTGAGTTACACCTTAAAAAGTCAAACTTTCTCTGGTATAGACAACTGAAGGTTCTCTCTGAGATAGGATAGTGCCTGCAGTGCAGAGCGACAACCAACCTAGGGTATTTGACACTTGCGTCATCCATGCGGGGCGAAAGAGTTGCGCTTATTATGCAATCGTTTTAGTACTTTTCTCATTTTTATTTCCTTCTCCTTCTCGCAGAAAAGCCCAAACCCCACCACCGACGCTACAGCAGTCGGTGGTCCCAACGTCCCTACCGCTCTCCACTGCTACCTCCTCGACAAACGCCTGCGACAAGTCCTTAGACAGCAGGAGTTCTTCGGGAGGGATCCCCAAGGCGCTCGGCTCGGCGGGGACGTCTTCTTTGACGGCCAGTCCGACTCTTGCCACGCCTCAGCCGATACCTCAGCCACCGCCCAAACCGTGCCGCATTTGCCGCAAGGGCATCCAGGCGGGCGAGCCCTGCCACACTTGCGACGACTGCAAGCAGCTCGTGTGCGACGACTGCGCCTCCTACTCGCGAGACCCCCACCACGCGGTCTGGAGATGCTCCTGCTGCCGCCGAAGACAGAGCCACGACCGGCTGGGACCTCCGCCGGGTGCCGGGATGCACCGGGTGCCCTCTGTGAGGCGGATGGTGAGCCTTCGGTCCTTTGTGCCGCCTTATTCGGATCGGGCGTTGACCGCTGTGACCATTTTGGATCCGCCATCTTGATGGCAGAAAGCTCGCGCTCGAGGCCGAACATTCACTGGGCGCTTAACTTGTCAACGACTATATAGTGGGTGTCAGGTTAAGAAGGAATTACCGCTCCACCTCCCGCGTGACTTTTCTGCCTTTGATGACTCGCGCACTCGCAAAGTCCTGCTGAAGAAAACGAGCGCGTGCCAAAGGCGGAGCTTGCACATTAAACTTGTCACCGACTGTAGACCCTGAGGGGTCCATCTCAGCGTCACAGCAGCGGCCATTGGGCTAGCATTGCTGCTGAACGCTATACCTTATTCAGCGTACATTGCGCCCCATTGAGTTAGTTTTCCTCGTCGAAAACAAGCAGAAATGACCACCAGCATGATACGATATAACGTCATGCGCAAGCCATGTTCAGAACAACACGCTGTGTTACGAGACAGATGACGTGATCCGTCGAAACCCGACGACTTCTTCGCAGGCCGAGAGGATAGTCCAGGAGACAGGGGGATCGGGAGGCTGCTCGCCCAACCCGGGACCGAGGGGAAGTTTCATGCTCAGCGAACCCCTGAAGGAGGCCCTGAGGCTCGAGATGCAGATGCAGGTGGACGGAGGCTGCCTGGCGCCCCCCAGCGCCAGGACCATCGTCAAGAGGGGCTCGTACGCGGGACAGACGGAATGGCAACGCAATGGGCTGCGGGCGTCCTCGCCCGAACGGAGGCACAGCTACCAGAAACCCGAGAGGGCGTCGTCCGAAAGCTCGCTCGAAGAGGAGTACCTGCCCAGGGCCGGAAGGCTCAGGAGGAGGTCAAGGGTTCAGCGGCACAAGAGCCAGACCGCTGCAGATGTAAGGATGCGTTGTTTCCGTATTGGCCTTGCTCGTCGACCATTGCCTTATACCTTCTGTGAATTTACCTTCGGCCTGGTTGCTTCGATTTCTCGCCTCCTGTTCCCTATCTCAAGGCTTGTTTTAATCTATGAAATGCTTTTTAACGGGACTCCCTGAACTTCCGAAAATTGCCCCTCCGTTTGTCCTCTGTGCGTTTTCCCGCTAAATTTAGCGGGAAAATTGATAAAAATGTAATTGATAAAAATGTACAATTTTCTTTACTCCCTAAACGACTGTCTATAATGACTCCTGAACAAATTGCAACGATCGGAAAGGTCGCTGCTAGTTCGGTGCTCTTTATTATCTATGTCGCCTGTCTTCTATTCATTTTAAGAAGTATTTTCTCGGCCTTGGCACGCGCCGAATGTCTTCCTTATAGAGATCGTCTGCAGGTGTAATAAACACTTTCCGAACGATAGTTCCTAACCGGAGTCACGATGGAACATGACAATCCGTTCAGTGATGTTCGATATCTATAGCGCTTGATTCTGGCGCTGACCAAAGAGTGCTTTGACGTCGACCTTTCATCCTGTCGCTATCGCGGAGTTCCGAACTCCAACAACAGCGAACCGCGAAAGTCTTTCTTCTGGTTTGCTGGACTTACAGTACACCGACGGGTACAAACATCAGGTGTACGTCAATATTCGCGAAGTGAATTCGACCGCAGGGGCTCGACGTCAGTCAGTGGTTTCGAGCGCTCCATTCCCTTTGTCGAGACCGGTTATAACGAGGTCGGTTATAACGAAATAGAGGCTACAGCGAAGCGAGCGCGATTTCCCATTCCCCCGTGCAGTTCGTTATAACCGAATTCGATTATAACGAAATAGTGGATATATCGAAATGATTTACGGTTCCCGTTGACTTTGTTATAACCGGTCTCGACATTCTGACTGGTCCGGCGTCGTAACTCGCGCCAACTCCGACATTGTGCCTAACTCTCGACCAGTCGTTTACACGTTACACGAATGAAGTAATCGATTACAATTACAGTTACTCTCGCTTAAAAAAGTATTAAATTGATGAACCTAATTATTCGAAGCGAAAAGTAATTGGCCGTTATACATAAAACAATTAACTTCAGATTTTCAAAATTACACGGTTTCTTGCCGGTTTAAAAACGCGTGTCCTTTGCACAGTCCATTATTGGAATAGAATTAACGATATGACTTATACTTTTCTTCTTAATCCACCAATTTCGGTAAGCCACCCTCATGTCGGTAACCAGGTTCGGGGATGTCTTGGTAGGAAACTTGTACGAGTAAACCGTGCTATCAGAAAATGGAAGGGAAGAATGGGAACGGTTACAGGTAATTTCAGTACTTCCAAAAGTAATCGAAATACTCTCGCGATTCCTTTCCAATAAACGCAATGAAATAATTACAAAAAAGTACTCCGCAAAGTGGTCGATGATCAGGTAATCCGATTCAGGAGGAGGACTCGGAGGGCAACGAGTGGCGCAGCAACACGTCCTCGTCGTCGGCGCTGGACAGTCTCGAGACGGACTTGCGGAGCTCCCGGAGGCTGGACGTGCTGCAGCGCTACAGCTCCGAGAGCTCGGACGTGAGCGACCTGAGCCGCGGGGCGCCCGAGAGCTCGCCCGATGAGCGCCGCAGCATCCCCAGCGTCACCGTGGACGCCATCGCCGGGGGAGGCGGAGGTGGCATCCTCTTCGAGGAACTGCGGCGCTGCTCCACGGGAAGCGCTATGCCGCGCATGCCCATCCCGGAGAACCAGGTGTGCCCTCACTCACCCCATCTCGGCATTGAAACAAAGAAACGTGTTGTCCGGACCGTTTCGGCAGACAGTTTTCCCGTGATCAATATGACAGGATCATACAAGGAATGTACAGGGAAGATACACGGAATGCATACAAGAAATATACAAGAAGGAAACATGCCTCATACAGATGGTCTGTACCCGGTGCATATAGACCACTCAGTAAAAAAGGAAAAGATTATACAACATATATTTATTTCTAACAAATGCCCGCATTATTATACCACAAAGAATTGTATATCACATATAAATCGTCGATAATATGAAAATTAATTTAATGAAAGCACGAAATGTACCCTTCTGGGCGAGGTTTACCTTAATTCGTGGGCGAGGCTGTTGGGTGATTTGATTTAGAAAATATTGTTTGAATGTCGACGCTTGTATACATTCTTGGCTAAAGTGATAAAACATGGCTAAATTGATCAAATTTGGTCACTAATATGACCAAACTAAAGTGATCAAACGTCGCTAATTTATTTCGCTGTTGTTGTTTTTTGTGAGGTAGTCTAAATAAAAAGAAAACAAAACAAGCCGCGCGAGCATTGGGAGCATGGGTGAGGATATTCTTCGAATTTATCCAGCTTCGTTTATTCTGGTGCACCAAAGCTGAAAATAAAATTCATCGAACTCTATCTCTCACCTACGTCTCGGCGCTTGCACGTCCAGATACGGCCGGACCACAGCACCTCGAGGTCTGTCCCTTTCTTTGCCCTGCCTCAACTATGCGTATACCATCGTCTCTGTCCTCAGCTTTGCCTATTTCCGGGAGCCCCCCACGGAACCGGAAGTACCCACTCGCTCGACCTTCCCCGCGAAGAGCAAGGCAAGCCCGAACGACGAGCCTCGGCACCGGAAGGGGACAACATCAAGATCGTCATCGACGACGTCGATTCTCAGGGACCCGCACCGGCGCCGCTTAGGAAGCGGCTGCTGCTACAGAGAGATCCGTCCGACACCGGCGCCAGAAGTACGTTTCTCATGACTCTGTCAGTGTACACCTGTTTCGTTTACTTTCGTTTCCTGCCACCCGGTGGGCATATCCGGTATGGGCGATAAAAAAAAAACAATAAAACAGTTCAACCTGCAAATAGTAAAAAGAAAGATTAGAGAGGAGGCACAAGGATAATGGGCGACGGTTAAGATTATATCCTACTGGCGTAGCGACGGCAAAGTCGCCCATACTGGAAGTGACGATATTCAAGATGGCGGTGCCCTTGGAAGGAGAGTGGGTAGGCGGAAAGGCCAGCTGCTTTTGTCACAACCTACACTGTCTCCCTCCAATCAGAGTGAACAAAAGCGCGGTGTTTGTTGTTCGAAAGTCGAATGCTAAATCGTCTAGCTTTCCGATATCCCTAGAGCAACAAAATGGCGGAGCCAAAGTATCGTCTTCATTTTACCTTTGGCCGACAACTCCTCATTGGCGGAGAAGGGATCACATACGCTACGTTTGACTTTCCCGCTTGCGGTGAAGCCGCCTTGAGGAGCACCGGGTTTGAGGTGCGGCGTGTGGAATATGAAATGTAAATCTTGCAGTGAATTATAACGTGCAGAAAGCTCTTTGAACCTTCGGACATTGTGTGTGTCACGTAGATATGCGTGGAAGCACGGCATAAGGCGCAAACAATAACGGACCACAAGAAAGAAGACACACACATACCGGTGTCTGAATGGCGTCTGTATGTGTGTCTTTCTTTAGTCCGTTGTTTTTTTCCGCCTTACATTATGCTTCCTAACGTTCACCGACTAGCTCAATTACAAGTTATTTTACAGCAGATGTGTGTAAATGCGTTCTTTATATAACGCGAGCGCAATTGCAAAGCGGCCCTGAGCAAGTTGACGACGCGATGACAATGACGGCCAAGCGTGCCGGCGCGCGCTTCCGAGGGATTCGGGATACGCACGATGGAGCATGCGCGGTGAACCGCACCTCATGTCGTCCAGCCCGTTGCGTCTCCTGCGAGAGCGACGTTCGCTTCTCCCGCAATACTTCAAGTCTAAAATTTTTATGCTTTTCCGATACTCTACTACCCTAGACGTGTTGCGCCATCTCGCGGCGTTCACCGGAAACGCGAACAACGAACCTTCGACACACTTGTTCCATGGCGAGGCGGCGGCGCCCTCGTTCTTCTTCCGCCGTAGTCCTTGGGCCAATGCCGACTAACCCTGGCCGTGTTCCCCGTGTTCCCAGCGCGCGGCTTCGGCATGCGCGTGATGGGCGGCAAGAAGGCCCCCGACGGCCACCTGTACGCGGCCGTGGCCTGGGTGCTGGCCGGGTCGTCGGCCGATCTGGCGGGACTCCAGCAGGGCGACGTCATCCTGGAGTGGAACGGCACGTCCCTCGTGGACAGGTCCTACGAGGAGGTGTGCGCCGTGCTCGACAAGTCCGGCAACACCGTCGAGATACACATCGAGACCGGCAGGAGGATGTAAGTGTCGATGCCTTTCCCGATTGGGCGTTGCTGAGACCATGCAACGCCCAAATGCTACATAAGGGTAAACATGGGATATATATATATATATATATATATATATATATATATATATATATATATATATATATATATATATATATATATATGATTTAAGACAATGAACGGAGTGAAAAAGCTCGTCGATGTGTTCGTGTTTCTCTTGTTTGCAAATGTATTGCAAATGGAGTACATGCATATGTAACAGTATATTAAGATTAAATAAGAGGGAAAAGAGCACTCGTTTATAATAGAACCAAATTGGACGGTGTGAATGCTTATGCAGCGAGATGTCGGCCTGCTCTCCAAATATCCGACAGTGAGTGAGTGCTCTAGAAGAGCACTTAGGCCACCACAGTGGAACTAAAAATCCGAAAAAGCTATCGCGATCGAATCACGCGGCTTTGGTTCCAATTCAACTGTATAGCTGCGAGTTCAGAGAACATATATTACCAGGCTCAGGCACACCGCCGTCGAAGGAGCAGCAAGAAAATAAAACAGAATATGGGCCGTCGGCTTATAGAACGTTGAATGGCGTGCCCCTCGTGTGTGCTTGCGTGGATCGACCCGCACGCGTGCGTATAAGTAAGTGCTCCTGTTGAGGCGCCTTTATGTATATACCCCCTGGTATACAGCGGTGAGTGTACGCACTGTTTATACGAAGCGGTGACTCCGTTTTATCCCAAGATTGACCGCGGCGGACGCTGCAAATTACACCAGCCAGTCTGGCACTACAAATCTACCAAGTGACCCAACCACAGGACTCAATTGTGTCACGCATTCAGCGCAAGGAACAGCCTGATGTCAGGTGGCAACGTCACACCACCACGTCTCGATACGTCACAGAGTTATGTAACCTTATGACGTCACATGACGTCACACACATAGCATATGCCTAGCTCATTCGCGTCGCATTCCGTGCGTCTCCGAGTTTATAAAATATGCCCAAGGCATGTTAATATTTTTTTTGGCAGGAGCAGCCGCGAACTGAGAGCCTCGACAGGCAACATCCCGGCGCGTAAATGTTCCACGGGTTCGGTGGGTGGCGACGGCTCGTCCACCAGGCGAAAGCTGCCCAAGACACCCGACGAGATCTGCCACACGGCCCACGTCCAAGGAATGTTGGGCGTCCGGCTCTGGTAAGAAGCCTCGCAACCACGTCCCAGGGTCATATTTCTAAATCTCTACAGCTGAAAGCTCCACTCGCTGAACTCTTGTTCTTACGCGGGGATTTCTTAACTTCACTTTTATTTTACGTACAATCAACAAAAGGTGTTTATATGCGCGTAAATGTTTAAATATAAAACCACGCAGAAAAGAAAAAGAAAATAAGCTGTTTAGGCCTCCTCGAATTTAATAATTGCTACTATATGGATCTCGAAAGATATACATATACTCATCTCTAATAAAGAAAAGTAATATAGTTTTACAGTATTATTCGCAAAACTCATCGAGTAATAAAAAAAAAATGTCAACAAGCTTCAGAGTGGCATACTTCGCTGCAGCTTAAGTCCAGACGTATTAGCGACTCCCGCGCAATGGACGACACCTAGTGGCAAGAACTGAAAGCTGTGGCGGCAGGTTTGCTCACCAGTCTCCTCGAGCGAATCCGATATTCACAGCGCCCGCTGGTCTAAATACGAAGTCGTGATGGTAAGCTCAAGAACACGTAATAAAAATCGCCAGTACCCGGCGCAATACGGGAAAATGGGACCAACCAAGCAGCGCAAAAAGCACAAGTCACCGGGTCTTTTCTGTTTGTGATCGGTTCAGCCATGATACAGCACGTACAGAAACGTGACAAACACAATGATGGTGCCCTTCTGACGCTGTGTGAGTGGCCCCATCAGTTTGTTTCTCGGCTGCGTCTCGGCTGAAATTGAAACGAAGTATAGTCAATTCGCTATACTTCGTTTCAGCTTCGGTCCGAGCGTGGCCGATGTTATGAGCCGAAGGGCCAATCAAACACCGCAAAAAGCGCAGCGTCATGGCGTGCTCTCTGCTCTTGATAGGACTAGCCGGCGGAGGAGTGCGCACAGAGACACGGCGAATACCGGCTGGTCCTATCAACTGCAGAGAGCACGTCATGACGTTTCGCTTTTTGCGCTGTTTGATTGGCCCTTCTGCTCATAACATCGGCCGCGCTCGGACCGAAGCTGAAACGAAATATAGAAGTATTCGGAGAGCAAGTCGTCTACTTTCCCAGGAGTTGTAATGACGTCAAAACGAGACCGAGCTTTGATTGGCTTTGATTGAAAGCATAGTGGGTAGACCTCAATGCTAGGTGCCTCAAGGTCTATCCACTATTTTTTTTTTCTTTTTTCAATCAGCCAATAAGAGCTCTGCGTTCTGACATGATCGCAACCCCTGAGCAAAAAGCAGACGAACTTGCGCTTCACATTTTCTTTGCTACTGAAGAAGCTAAGCGTTTTCAACGAAACTAAAGGCGAGTTATTCTTCCTACCAGCTGCAACAACTTTGAGTTTTGTTTCGATTTATTGCGGTCACTGACAGCTCTAGAACTGCAGTACGTCACGAGCTCCCAACATCTTGCGTTTTCGCTCCTCAGCCAATCAGATTTCTGCATTAACCGATAAGAATGCCGAGCAACCAATCACGAAACAAGAAGCGTGAACTTTACGTGCCACGCCCTACGTTGCTCAGGCCGTCGGTGACTATAGGTCAGATCACCGAAGTTGCAGTCACACTGCTCGTACACCATACAAAAAGACTCGGTGTTCGCTGTGGACATAGCGACAGAATTATCTGCGGGCACGCCTCAGGCATGGATGGATGGATAGATGGATGACGGATGGATGTTAATGGCTATACCCTTTGTAGCGGGCGGTAGCTTGCGCCACCTAGCCTAAGTGTTCGAAGGCTTCGCACGTGTTTTGAACATGTCTGCAGACAGTTTTTTGCATGGCCAATGTGACGGGCAGACTATCTTTTGTAGGATGTGTTAAGCCACGGTCGCATATATATAGTAGTTTACGCAAAAGGTGCAGGCACTTTCAGAGGCGTGTGTCTTCCTTGTACGACTGGCACATTGGTCATATAAAGTCCTCTGCAGACACCTTCGAAGCATCGATAGGAATGATGCGCAAACATGCCTCGAGCATCCGTAAGACATATTCGCAGATAATTCCATCACCGTGTCTACGTAGATCACCTTGTGTCTCTTGTATCACGCATCTAGGCAGTGTGACTGTTGCTTTAGCATTGTAACCGCAGCTTAAATAGTCGTCGTAAAAGACCGCGAGATGAACACCCTCGGTTCTTGGGCGCGCAGGTACGACGGTGCTGACCTCGAAGTGACCGTCCTGGGCGCCAGGGGGCTCCCTCCGCGCCGCTCCTACGTCAAGCTGCGACTGCACGACCCGTGCACGGGCATCCGGGGGGTGGCGATGAAGACGCCCATCTCGGAGCCCGTGGCCAACCCGGAGTGGAACAAGACCTTCGTCTTTCCGGCCCAGGAGTCGCTCGAGGGACTCTACCTGGACCTGTCCGTCTGGGACCACAGGCCCGTCGGTTCGAATGCCTTCCTCGGAGAGGTCCAGGTGAGAACATCCACCTTGTTTGTCGACCTCCTGCCTAAGCACCATTTCGGGCCACGATTATCGGAACCGTAGGAAATTGCTACCTCGTTTTTCATTTATCGATCATCTTCCTTATCATCGCGATATACTGCACGCTGAAGCCATGGTATTTTTGGCTGCTTAACAAACGTGTGGCTGCTTGTGCCTGTGCACCCTTCGTTGAGCACCCTCTGTTTCCACGAGTCTTCTTAACCGAGCCGCCGGTTACCTCCCAGGTTCCCCTGGGAAGGGCTCCTCTGAGGGACGTGTCCGAATGGCTCTCCCTCGCCAGCAGGAGGACACGTTCCCAAGACCTGCCTTTCCCCATCGATGACAAGGACCTCGTCAAGAGCTCTTCTATGGACTCCATGCGTAAGTAACACTGAGGCACCCTTGAAGCGCCATGACTATGCTGCCTAAAAGGCGTCTCCGACTGATGTATTTACCACGTCTTGATAACTGTTCCCTCAATTTCCGCTTGATGACGTCACGGAAGTGACACGTTTTTATTTATTTATTTATTTATTTATTACATGTTACCCCGCAGCGCCAAGAGGCATTATTGCAGGGGGGGGGGGGGGGGGGGGGGGTGAGGATACATTTGCACAAGAATTACAGTTCTGACATGCAGAAACAAACAAGTTCGCAAAAAAAAAAAAATGACTGAAAGCAACAACAATTGTGTTGCAAAATTATAACACCTGAACAAATGGATCCACAATGGTATAAAACTTTAGCCAACAGTGTAATTTTCCGTACGAATAAAGATATGAAGACAGATAGCACAGTGTTACAGACCGAGCGTTCTGAATGCACATTCTCAAAGAGAAAATTCACTTTCCTTACTCCCAGCTATCACGTGACAGTTTATCAAAGAAATTATCAGACGATGGAATTGAAATAGTTTCCTCTGGCAATTCGTTCCATTGTTTAACGGTATTGGGGAAAAATGAGAATTTGAATATATTAGTCCTAGCTGAAAATTCTCTAATTTTTTTGGAATGATCTAATCTACGTGACACGAAGTGTGGCAGTTCAATGAATTTAGTTTTATCCAGTCCTGTTTGATCATGATAGATTCTATGTAAAAATTTTAAACGGAGGCGGCGTCTTCTAGAGTTCAGAGGTTCCCAGTCTAATTGACATTTTAGGGCAGTAACACTTTGTTTGAAATTGTAATTTTTTGTAACGAACCTAGCAGCTTTACTCTGGATTTGTTCTATTTTCTGTTCTAGATAGCGTTCTTTAGGGTCCCAAAGCACGCAAGCGTATTCTAAAATAGGCCTGACATTAGAAAGAAAAAGGGTATTTTTTAAATTGGGAGGACAATCGTGAAAATTCCTCCTCAAGAAATTTAGCACACGGTTAGCTTTGACCGTCATGTAGTCTACATGCGCGCTCCACGATAGGTTTTCCGAAAACTGAACGCCTAAATATTTTACTTTGTCCGCCTTTTGTAGTGGGGCGCCATCAATTAGATAGCTAAAAGAAACAGGTTGTCGTTTTCTGGTAAATGTTATGTGATTGCATTTGGGAATATTTAAATTCATTTTCCATATTTCGCACCATCTTGTAAGGCGATCAATATCTTCCTGTAGCTCTAAACAGTCTGGATATGTCTTTATTTTGCGGTATAAGACGCAATCGTCCGCATACAGACGAATGCTTGACGTAATGTCTGTAGAAATGTCATTTATATATATTAGAAATAAAAGCGGACCTAGCACTGATCCCTGGGGGACCCCTGATGTTACCTCTAAATACGGCGACATTTTCCCGTTAACCAAAACAGCCTGTCTTCTATTTGTAAGATAATCAGTAAGCTAGTTAATAATATTTTCAGGGATATTCAAAAATTTTAATTTGTATAGAATCAATTTATGGGGGACCTTGTCAAAGGCTTTTTGAAAATCTAAGAAAACGCAGTCTACTTGCACGCCTTTATCAAAAAGAAGAAATGTCGTGATAAAAGTCGATCAGCTGGGTATCGCACGATAAACCACTTCGGAAGCCATGTTGATAAGGAATAAAAAAGTTGTTTCTGTCGAGATGTTTTATCAGGTGGCTGTAGATTATATGTTCTAAAACTTTCGAGCACACGCAAAGAAGTGAGATTGGTCTATAGTTTTCTACCCTATTCTTTTTGCCGCTTTTGTGGGCAGGAACAACGTGAGCTGTTTTCCATTCACTTGGTAATTTACCACTTGATAATGAGTTATCAAATAATACAAATAAAAAACTAGACAAAATACCGGAACACTCTTTTAATATGCGGCCTGGTATACCGTCAGGCCCAGTGGCCTTGTGAGAGTCAATGTTGTTTAGTAAATTAAGAATTCCATCTTGACAAAGTTCAATATCCAACATGCTGTCCTCTAAAGACTCAAAAATGAGAGAAGGGTTATTCATTATAGGAGACGAGAATACAGATTCAAAATAGCTATTAAAAAGGCTTGCTTTTTCAGCCTCATTATCTATCATCCGTCCCGAGTCGTTGATAGTTGGAATTCCTGGCTCATCTTTGTTCGAACTTTTTACGTACCTCCAAAGTTCCTTTGGATTTCGTTTGAACTTTTCATCAAGAGATGCTAGAAACTGTTTCTTGTAGTGTGCCGCTTTGCTTTTATAAAACGCTGTTAGTTCCTTTAGACGGACCAGGAGGCTCTGTTTTCCATTTTGTCTGTATCTAGAATACACACGTCTTTTTTTCTTAATGATCGTTCGTAGTTCTTTATTTATCCAAGATCACGTTGTCACCGGCCGTGATCTTGGCGGTGTCAAAGGAGCGGTGATGGACGTGGCAGACGCCCGTTCTGATGCAGGTCGCTCTCCAGCTCATTCCACAGAAGCTTCAGCAATCATGAGTTGGTACTCCGCGACGACAGGGACGCCCACATTCGCTCGAACTTTTTGCCGGGACTTCTGGCGCCAACCGCCAGGATCGCGACATCCGACAGCGCGACACGCCGGCTTCTGTGACTTCATTTGTTGCCACTTGGGGATCACTTTCAATCCATGGTCGGGAGAGTACACTAAACATACCAGTCGAAGTCGCTTTCCAGACACCGTATACTCTGACGTCCTGTGGTCCCCATCTAGACTGTGAACGCTCAAAACCAGAAAGTTTTTTTCGTTGTCTATGGTCTACTATTTTGTAGGACTCGATTGCATATTGGTACGTGACTTGAAGTGGACATGGTTAAGACGATTTCTCCAAGCAGCAGACCTAAGAAAAAAAGGGTACCAGTAAACGCACTTTAGTGCTGAAGCACTGACTATATCACGTTGGCGGTACACGACCAAGTTGGTCGCCCAAACGCAGCCTCGCTCTCGAACATCACTTTTATTTATTTATTTTTACCAGGAGCTCCACATACGCAACAGTGCCTCCTGGTCGACGCAGCTCTTTTTTTTTTTACCCACAGCACGCGTTCTTTAATACATCGTGTGCTAGACGCGTCACAAGTTACTGTTCAATCTTTGCGCCCGTGCTCCGGACAGCCGCTGCGCGAGTCAAAGTTGTAAGTAGAAATAGCAACAACGCTGTCTTCTTTCGAAAGAGAGCGCACTGCCAATGCCTTCTCTATACTCACAAAGCCTGGCAGTTCGACGACGGAGCCATAGAGTGCCCGGTCGCAGATTTAGAGCGCTAGGATCTGCGTCCACAGAGCATCAAAGAGACATCTCTCGGGGAACCTGGACGTCAGCACACAGCTTTTGCGGCGGCGAGGACCCGAAACGCACTTTTTCGCTCGGGAGAAGTGTGTTTCAGCGCCTCGCCGCAGCGGGGCGCCAGTCACGTGGCTCTCCTCTACTCCGTTGTCTGCCGCTCCACATTTTCCATTTCGGCGGCCGCTTCTCGTGGCGATCTGTGCAGGCTTTGTCAGTATATAGGAGGCTATGGCAATGCGAGTGCCTCAGTTAAGCCGCGTTCACGCTGTTCGAATGTCCCACAAAAGAAAACATTTTCGCTGCAGGCATGATGACAAAATGATCTGTGGACACGACTCAGGCATGTTTGAAGCATGTTTGCTTCATACATGCGCATGCTTGTAACATGTCTGCAGCCTGTCTTTTGCATGATTTATCAGCGGTGTGACCGCGCGCGGCTTCGTGGTATATTTTTTTTTTTTCTCTTGCTAGTGCTTCATCCGGATGACGCCTGGCAAGGCAATCCCGTGGAACGCAAGTCGTCAGCCCCGACGGTCTACGCCATTTCGCCTGGACGTAACAAGCAGCTTCTGGCGCAGGATAGCCTGCCGGGTGAGCATTTGTATGTACCTTTACCGTTTCGCAGGAGCTTCAGATCAAAGCATCGCGCAACGCCGATCAGCAGCGTTCCTCCTTCCCCGTCTAACGTCTGCTGAGTCTGCCCACATGACCTGTTACTTCTAGTGTTAAGAAAAATAATTAGCTTTTTTTGTTGGAGCCACGGAAAGTTCACTATTTGACTTTGGGCTGATTGGCGCGTCCCGAGCCAATATATGGCCAGAAAAGGGCTACACGGAAAGAAAGTGAAGGAGAGGAGCAAATGAGAGCAGATGACGTCAGAGTGCCGAGCTCTGATTGGAAGGATTAGTGGGTATAGGCGCAAAGGCTAGCTACTCAATGGGCCTTCCAATGATAGCTCGGCGTCTTGACATCAGCGCACGTACGCTATCATCTCCTCCTTTCCTTTAGTTTCTCTGCGACACATTTTTTTTTTCTTTATTTGCCGGGTTGGCATTGCAGGCTAAAGCCCGCGCTGAAAACCTTTTGTTGATTCAGACCATTAGTCTGATCGGGACCAGACGACTCTTTAGAAGATGGTCGCTGGCCCGTGTGAGATTGTTAATTTAAACTTGCAAAAGCTTTGCGCAAAAAGGCGAGAAATATTCCGACGGACGCTCAGCCGAGGCTTATAGCGTCTTTCAATCCCGCCAGAACTGGGAGTCTTCAGTCCTGACTGACCTCTTCCGCGCCGCCCGTTGCTCGCAGAACTGTACTCGTCCTCGCCAACGCAAGGACCTGAAAGAGCCAAAAGTGCCAGCTTCAAGATGCGTCGAAATGTCAACATGCAAGACGCGGCTGCCGGTACGTGGCTCCACGTCGCCCACGTTGCAATACGAGAGCGTGCACTGGCATTAAAAAAAAAAAAAAAAGAGCAAATTAGAAGTTACGTATTCGGACAGCGCGGGTTTCGTCTGGTTTACGCTGTGGGTGAACTGTTTAACACTGTGGATGAACTGGACCACACAGTATAGATGAACTGAACCACGCCGTGGCCACGCCGTGGTCGACCACACTGAAGATGAACTGCATGGTTCACGCTGTCAGCCAGTGCAGTACGACTGCTAGTTCAGGGTCGCACTACCAGAATCTCTTGAGTTCTGCAGTGAGAACTGCAGTTCTTCAGCATATCAACGTGCACGCCATAGAGAAGCACCATCAACTATTTATTCATACTCAGCTGGTCTTGCCGTTGAAAGTAAACGTGTGCATCTTTCGACAGGAGTTGTTCCAGTAATGGACGAGAGGAGGTCCCTACCGAGGCGCAAGTTGTCCCGTACGGTTAGCCTCAAATCCGACGACCGTGCCACCGTCGTCAACCCCGGAGGTAAGCGATCGACCCATATCCTGTGTGACAGACGGCTCGGAGTTCCGGTTAGGCCTCTCTATGTTCCATCGAAGGACTGTTGTTTTACGAATACGACAGATTCACTTTATGTATCTAAGTGAGCTGTACATTGACAGTAATTTATAGGAGGGACAGGAATAAAAACGGAAATTATGATTGCCAGAGACCGCGCACTTGTTCCCATGCCTTCCTGTCCATTGTCCGGATTGTAACCCGAACCCGGTGTATAGTCTTCAGGGGCGAAACCTTTCGGCTGAAAACGAGAGAAGTCCCTACTGGACAGTCCGCATCTTATGCATAGTTCACATGTGAGATTCTCACGCACAACACACTTTGAAAAATGCCTGCTTTATTAGTGCACAAAGAAGCTTATCATAAAGAAATCATGATTAACATAACCTGTCATTCACAAAATTCCTGACGTTTCGTCCTAATGAGCGATGCTGAAAAATCAAGGCATTGTGTAATTCACACTTGCAGATAGTCCGCACCACGTAAAAATTCGACATCTAAACATGCATGGTCCGCCGACTATAATCCGAAAAATGGGGTACACCCCGGAGCGACAATGCGTGTATATTCCCTCTTATACTGTTCTAGCTTTCTCTCTCTGTTTCCCTCGTGTCCAACGCTACATCTTTCTCGTGCCTTCAATCGTTTATTGTTCGGTGAAGAATCGACGAGCATTAACGCGTTCGGTGACGTGCCGCGAAGAGCACGCGGAACTGAAGGCGAAGCTGTCCGTACTCAGGGGACGGCGCCGACAGCAGTTCGGGATCCGACCGCGGCGGTTCCCAGGACGCCGGTCCAGGACAACAGAAGAACTCCAGGCGAGACTTGGCCCGCCTCGGCGAGCTCAAACTGGGATTCATCATGACCAAGGGACAACTGGAAGTCGAGGTCGTCTCCGCCAGAGGCCTGCCCTTGGGAGCTGCAGGAACTCCGCCAGGTGACTCAGTCGATGCAACGTCCGCTGTTTCATAAACCCGCGGCCACACTGGTAAAAGGCCTAGGATAGAAAACAGCTTGAACACACTGCCTCTGTTATTCCGTTTGCTTTACCACGGGAGGACAGTTCATTACCATATTAAATTCTATACTTAGTCCTTCTCTCGAGCAACGGCTTTTGCGGAAGCTGGCAAACGCCCGTTTCAGTGGCTCGGCTTCTCAGTAAGACGAGAGGTCAGCAATGGCGGCTGGTATCTGGCGCGTGTTTCAAGCGTCTATAGACCTTTGCAATAATCGCTTTCTGCGCGCTGCCATCTTTGTCTACTGGACTGTGGAAGGCGTTTTGAGCGTGCGCACTAGCTCTCTTCGACGAAATACGACACGCCGCGCATGCGTTCACAGCCAGTGACTCAGCATTTTTCGCCTGGGTGATAAGCGCTCAAAAGGTCTATACACCATCTCAGTGTTTACAAAATGTTTTAGTTGTGTGCGATAAAAAAAAAAAAAAGGTGCAGCGGTGTGAGCTTTTCAATTTGGGAAGCAAGGCAGACAAAGGTTTTCGCAGCCCCGGGTCTGCGCTGCTAAAATACGTTCTCATAAAAAAAATAAAAAAAATAAAAAGTTTTGTTGATAGGAGAAGAATCTGACCAAGCCACGCTAGCAGCACACTCTCGGGAATCTAGTAAAGAGGCGTAGAATGCGTTTCTATCCGACACTCGTCTTGAAAGATGTCGTCTTTCGCGCTTTTGCCCTCACCAACTAAACCAATCACGCAAAAAAAAAAAAACGCGCAGAATCATGGTGCATCCACTGTGCGTGTTTGGTTAAGCCGGTGATCGCCAACGTCCAAAGACGACCAGCGCCATGACGGTGCATTTTTGCGCGGCTCGATTGGCCCGCAACGGATGGTAGCGTCGGCTGCACTCAGACTAAGCCCAAGGTCACAATGCTCATGATATCACACAAAGAACAGTCTGCAGCCACTCACTGAGGCGCGTTCCTTCCTCCCATGGGCAGCTGGCATAACGGCGGAATGCGTACGTTGAGGGCGACGCGTCCTTGACGACATTCCCTTCCAAGTAAATGCGAAGGGCGTGCTCACTGTTCCCCGGTTTCTCCACAGACACGTACGTGAAGACGTACCTCAAGGAGGGCGACCGCCAGATGCAAAAGCGCAAGACCCGCGTGGTGCGGCACGCCTGCGAGCCCCAGTACCGCCAGACGCTCAAATACACCGCGGCCGACGTCTTGGGACGCTCCCTGCTGGTCACCGTCTGGGAGCGTGCCAAGGGCTTCGAGCACAACCAGCCCCTGGGCGCTGTGCTCGTCCAGCTGGACAGGCTGGAGCTGAGCCACCTCACGCTCGCCTGGTACGCCCTCCAGACGCCGGCCGGTCCCGCAGCCACGTCCGGACCCCGAGGCGACGTGGAAGACGACGCCGATGAGGACGACTCGCCGTGAACGCCCAAGGGATGTCCCTAAACGTCGAGCCGCAGCTGTACAAAGTCAGAGATGGCCCAGAGCGCTGAGATCGTCCCGCATCCTTTGGACCTCGTCGTCCGAAACGCCCTTTGAAACGCTGCCTCAGTAATTGCCTGAAATTAACAAAACTTTGCCTCGAACGCTACAAAGTTCGTTTCTCGTCGTCCCTGGCGTTACCCACGTCATGACGTTTGAAGACTCATCTTAGCAGCTCAGAATTATTTAGATTAAATATGTAATTGCCTGACGTTCTATTTACAGTCATAAGCGAGTCTGAAGGCTTGTCTGAAATTTGCCACAACAGTTATAAGCACGCCGATTGCCGGCAAAATGATCCCTGTGACAAATCCAGAATCTACCCTATGGCTACGAGGTCCCTTGCGTTCTCGCTGTCAGAATGATTGTACAAAGTGTAATATCGCTTAAATCGAGAAGAAAACAGAGTTTAAACACATTACGGGCGGCTTGTAAGAGCCTTCTGTTTATACATCACACGGTACGTGCATTAATTACAATTTCGAATCCGCTTAAAATAAATGGCAGTCGCCATTCTGCAGGCCATAAATCACCGTAAATGTTTTCCGGAACTTGCCAGTATTGCGCATATACTTACCTCCAACTGTTTACATGCTCGAACGTGTTGTTCTGCGAGAAATTATCTGCGATGTTACTAACAGATCACATTCAATTTCTGACGAGCCATGACGAGCATACGGCTGTTTCAAGAGTTTCGTCCTTTACGTCAGCTCCTAAAACACTGCGGCTTGTCATGAGAGCTCAAGGATTTCGCTGAATATCTCGTCATCTAAGACGTCATCTATGATGATGTCTTGGAAGTCAGGTAAAATAAGCTGCAGTTCAAACGTCGCCTGGATGTCTGTCGTACGTGTCCTCTCTTTTTCGTCCTTGTTATTTTGCGCGCTTTCTATTTTATTATGAGGGATGCCACCCTTGCACATGCCCCTTTTTTCTCAATAGTCTGTCATCATTGTGGTTTTGCAGGAGTGAAAACACGGATCATCTTGTAGAAAATCTCCATAGGCGCCATGGCAGTCGTTTGAACCAACACTGAGGATTTGTCACCGGATATTATTGCTAAGCGTATTATTGCCAAGCGTAATCGCCAACACGATCTCTCGAATAGCGCCGAGAGTGCTGAGCATTCTTCGGAAGGCCCAACAACAGAGCTGGATAGAGCTTCTCGCGGACATCGCGTGATGCATCCACGGCTCGAATAAGACCTCCAATATTGTTCCTGAAGCCTTCATGAATGTCACTCACCCATCGTCGTCTGTTTCACCATGCTGACCTTGGGCAAGTGATGTGTTGGTGTGTGTATGTGCCTGTGTGTGTTCTTTTCTGACTGTGATGTGCCTGTTCCTCAAGACACCCGCGGAACCTCCGGCGACACCTCTGGTCAATCGCCTTCAATGTCGTTTTCAAATGACCGCATCAGGAGCTAGGTGTCTCAGATGTGTTCTTGTGTTTGCCTCTGCACATCTTCGACGTGTGCGACCAGGACAGAGAAATCGTTTTAAAGCCATCTTGCGCAGTGTGTGTCATCAAGACGGCGGTCGTTCTCGGGCTCGGGTGGTACAAAGAACTGATCGTCACCACTCTCGCAATGAAGTCACTGCAGGAATACACGTCGAAGCGCAGATGCTCTTCACTGTACTTTTAAGCCTTGTTTCAGTATTTGTCCGTTCGTAATTCTCATCTAATATGTGACTGTGTGCGGTGGTACCTGCTTCGTTCATTGTCCTTCTGATTGCAAGCTACTATAGAGCACCGTCAACAGTTCTGCCGCGTGCTTACTTTTCTTTTATATAAATGCTATCCCTAAGCTACTTTTGATGGTCGGACCGTCAGTTACAAAGACTTGCCCAATCAACTTCTTAAATAACATTCGTAGTAATTTTCCTTTTTAAACTGCAGTTGGGTGTGCTTACACTAAGAGAGCATTCCGAAAAAAAAAATGTTTACAGTGGGAGACAGACCGAAAGGATATCGGTTATGACGCCATACCGGCATCCATTTAAAAGCACTAACTCCAGATGTGCCACAAATACAGTTTAAAAATGTATAGCAAGTGTGTTTCTAATTTATAGTTTTACACGCGTGAAACACGTTTTTAAAAATGGCTACTTTTAAAAAGTGGCTTTATTATAAAAAAAAATGTTTTGCTAACATATGTTTAGATGTCCCTGAAGCTCATGGGTTGCCAAGTTTTAACAGTACCTGGCTTAGATTGAGGACAAAAACAAAACAAAAAAAAAACTTCACAAAACTCTGTCAAACAACAATGGCGATAGGAGTCCAACAATGACGATAGGCGTCCCTTTCAACTCGAAGCCTGTGATTGGACGCGAGTCCTTGTCGAATGCTGACGCAGCATTCGGGTCCAATAGGCGCTCAGAGTGCAAGCCCAAGATAGGGTGGCCTCGAATAATTGGCCCAGCAACTATCTGGATGGCGCACGCGCTTTTGTAACGGGTCAATTTTGCCTTGAATATTTTTAGGGTGCTTCTTAAAAGTGCGCTGGTATTATTTAATTTGTTTTGAAGTCGTCAGGGTTCTTTGTTTTTGAGGTGCAGTCGTTTCAGGGTAGAAAGTTCGTCTTCGTAACTTTTTTTTTCTGCACTTTACCGCATGACTACCACGTAGTCCAATAATGCCCATCTTAGAAATAGAGTCGATGACTAAGCACTTGTCCAAAGTCGTTCTGTTGACTCCCAACGTCAAGAGGAAAATCACTTCAATTTTTTTCATGCGTCGCTTATATGTTATCGCCCATGTGGATTATGAAATTCAATGGCAACATGGTCAATTTTAAAGAGAGTACAAGGCGACAGCCGCATTACAGTGTGTCACATAGTTGATAGACTAAAGAGAACGCGTACCTGGTTTACGTAATCCTTTACCCGCGCGGCCATTAAACAGTATATCCTGTGAGCACCCACCAACTCCTCTTGCAGGTAGTCTTTAAGCACCCCAATTACTCTATCGAGTAGTCTGTAAACCGCGTGCTCTATAACCTCCGTTATTCTAACGGTCTGTTCGCACTACACGAACGCGCGACAAACACTACTCGCCGACATAGTGAAAACAGCTCCCTCTCGGCCCGCGCACGCATCCATCGGAACTAGAACTTGCATGACACATTCCCTTCCAGTGCACGACCGAACCTTGGTCTCGTACAGGGCACCCAGGGTACATATTGAGGAAGGTCTCTAGCCCACACGATGACTGCCTGGCGCGACCTTGGGTGGGGAAGACGCATACAGGCATGGTCTTTTAGAAGACGACGTCATTCGCGATGTTGAAACTACTTCTAAGCTCTGGTTTGGTTAATTCACTGTCCCGTTGCGCTACGAAGTGCCACATTTTTTATTATCGAATTTCCGCGGAATAGACACTTTTCGAAAGCCTCAGCAAGCAACAATGGAGCGCTGATGCAGCCCCCGTGTTTACTACGTGCCCGGAGTGCGTGTCCAAGCAATGGCGAACAGGGATAATTCACTCAGAAGCTACGAGACGCCGCGCACTTGTGAAAAGGCTCCATCGCCGTAATAATTTAAATGGAAGCACTCGTCGCACTCCCCACGAGTGCCAAATATTTACACCGTCGCATAGCGAAGACCTAAACGTGAAAAAAAAACGTCCAGAAAATATATTTCCTTAAAGAACAATGTCATATACGTAGAGCCTCGATTGTTCCGTGAAAGCTACGGAGTATTAGTAAAATATATAAATGTATTTACTTACAATTCCGGCGACCGCATCTAGGTATTTTTTTATACTAGACCTTAAAGGAGTACAGAGCCATGGAAATTTGGGGCGCTGCATATCGTTTAGTCTATAAATACGCACGGTATCAGTAACTGCGGAATGGAACGTAGCTTGCACAGAGACGCAGTATAGATAATTATTCGCAACCCCAATCGCGTTCATTTAATCCGCTTTTTTTTTCTGTTTTACATTTTGACCGCCAAGCCGCCATATTTTTCGCTGCACACGAGGACGGGTTTGTAGCTCCTCGCTTCTCTGCTTCGCGTCTTTTCCGCTAGGTGGCGTCGCCTCCTCTAAAATTCCGTGAAGAGCTAGATTGAAGAGAGGGTTCATCTCAAATCGTGGGCCCGGGAGCGTTTGATCGGTTGCAAGTGCGCAAGCGTGAGTTGCAGCGCGGTGTTGCACTCACCACGCTGCAGGATAGAAGAGTGAGCAAAAGCTTGGAGACGCTCGACTTCTCGCAGCCATCTCGCAACTTGTACTGCGAACGCAGCCCAAAAACCACGTGACCCAAATCCAACAGTTGGGAACACTCTCAGACCTTGGCACAGTAGAGTCGCGGATTGCTTTATTTGTAGTTATTAATACTCTGGTTTCATTCCACCCAAAAAAATATCGCGTCGCGCTTTTTTTTTTTTTTTCGTTTTTTTTTTTCTTTTAATGTGGATTTATGCGGAGAACAAGTTGTCTGCTTTTGGCAAGTGCAAGAAGCAGACGAACTTGAGCTCCGCGTAACTTCATAACAAGGTCCCGGTCATTTAAAGGTCGAAACCGAAACACCTAGGTTGACATAACGCGATAGCTTATTTAATTAAGGCGTGTTGGTCTATTCCACGTTGCAATCCGTGAATAGCGATGCCATGCGAGAGAAAACAAAATGCAGCACGAAATTTTATGGCTACTCCTTTAAGAGCGAAATTTTTTCGTACCTGCCGCAATTCAACAGACGTTTTATAACCACCATTTAAATGTTTATGGAATGAAGAGAGTCTTTATATGACTAATTCGTTATATGCAAAAATAATAAAGTGTTCTTTTTTGTTTTTATTTCTCCTTCTCGCGCTATAGTCCCAGCATATTTTGAACTTGCGTCAGTGCTTCGTGTGTTGTTGTAATTACCTATGCTCCTCATGAATGCACACAAAGGAAACTCAGTGTTGTTCGCCGCCATTTTTTTAATTATTTTTTAGAGGTTGCTGTTAATTTTACAGTAGTCGTAGTTTTGCCTGCACCCCCTCTCCCAGTATTCCCATCTACAGTAACCCCACGGCAGCGCCTTATTTCTGTGTTTTATTGTTTGTACTTTCTAATTTGAGCTAAGCATAGCACATATAACAAAACAAAGAAAAAGTACGAGCATTCGTTTTTGTGTGTTCTTGGAAGCGCTACCAGACGGAAACAGCCCTTCTAGGCGCAAACTTCATCACTATCACAATGGTGTTGTTAGCCTCACTTGCAG